TGTAGGTAGAGTAAAAGTAAAAATTCTAATTGCGTTTTTGATTAAAAATTGGGATACTTATAATTTTAATTGAAAAATTTGAAACTACTTATTAAAATAGGTAAATGACGTACTCTAAGTATGTCAGTTTGTATTCTATATTATATTATATACTTTATAGTTTTTACTTAGTAAGAACTACTTTTTTTGAGTAGCGTTGCTTTCAAATTTAAATTGAAAAATTGTAATTACAAATATTGTGTAATTACAAATATTGTCTTGTGTATATCACTATTAACAGTATACATAAGGTTTTAGTAAAACAATCACATATAATACAATATTTCACAAGCCAGGATTTTTGATATTCGGCGATATCATTAAAGCGATGTTATTGAAGCGATATTGTAAAACAGTCGAATTTTTCGTTCTTTGTTCCTCTCCTCGGTATTGTTCGGTATTAAAATTTTATCTTACTTAAAAACATTCTTTTTTTTTACATCTCTCCAATTAATTTATAAAATATGAGAGATACTATATTAAAAAAAATTAGTAGAACAATATAAAAGAACAATTCAAATGTACCTGCATAACCTTTATAGCTCGCTCAAATTTAAAAATGCAATTTCAAATGGTTGAATTTTTCCAAATATTTTTCATATTATTTTCTGATTTTAGATTAACAGAAATAAATTAAAAAATTAATTAAATTATTATTTAATTTGAATCCAAAACAAAAGGAAAAAGATATTCAAATGTGAAGTATAAAATAATTTTTAATTAATAAAATTTATTAATTGCTTTATTCTCAAACAACTGTGCTAATTAATTTCAAATTTTGGAAAAATTCAATTTATAATAATATTTAATTTTTTATTATAAATTAACTTAAAATTTAATTATAAAAAGTAAAATAAAAGAAATAAAATATAATTTATGCTCAAAGCAAATCATATGTGCACTTTCTTAGAAAATTCATTCAGTACCTACACACCAATCAGCTATGTGTTCATTCCACACACACCCATTTTAAAAAATACATATTATTTATGCTCAAATATACGAAAAACAAAAAGCAGTTCCCTGTTTTTCTTTTCAAATAATAAAATATTCACATAATATCCTGAAGGTTAACTGGCAAATAAAAAACAAAAAAAATAAATAAAAAAGACGAGAAATAATGAAAAAATACAAAAAAGAAAATTCTTTTTTTTGAAAAGTGTATAAACATAAAAGAAAGTTTATACCATCTGCTTTTCTTGTCCTTAAAATTTATCCTTTTACATATTATATTTAACATATATTTTACAAATATTTTACGTTATATTAATATATGCATTATATATTATGTAAATTACATATTATATGCACTGTATACATAAAAACAAACCTTTAGTAGTATAATGTCTTAATATATTTTATGTTTAAAGGTTAATGTATGGGTTAAATTTCAAGTAAACATACGGTTTCAGTCTTGGTATATATTTGTAAAAATAAAAGTAATAACGATTTTAGTATTACTTTACATATTATTGATAACACAATGGCTGATCTATTAAGTATAACAGTTGGAGTTTCATGTATATGCTCTAGTTCATTCTTTGCAACCGATCCAGTGCATTCTTTGAGTAATTTTTAAAATATATAAATTTACAATTCGAGACAAAAGTTAGAGAGAAAGGTGAATTTTCTTTTCATGGATCTTTGTTTGATAAGGATTAGGTGAAGGGGATCTTGTTCTACACGAAATTTCCATATAAAATTTTATTTTAATATTTCATCAATTTTTACAATTTTAACGTTACACCCTATATTTCTTTAATATTGCGTGTGTTGTGAAAAATACATAAATAAGCACATAGTTTTTTCTTTATCTCAATTATAGAAAACAATTTCACCTTTATTTAACATTCACCTTGATTTCGATATTCTTAAGATAAACTTTTCGGATCTTAAACAAAAAAAAAAAAGAAACTAAGCAAATCAAAATAGGAATTTTTATTTTATCCTTCGTATTTTTCTTATTTTATTTTATTTATTTTTTTTTTTTTCAAATTTTCTTATGTTTATTTTATTTAATATTTATTGTAATATAGGATACTGAAATCCTATATATTATTATTCTTCGAAATACTTCTTGATTCTATGCATACGATAATTCTACATATTTAGGATTTCGTATTTCTAATATAATTTTTTTTCTATAATGCTATTGATAAGAAACAAAATAAATAATATATATTATAGACGGTTCAGAATATACAATATTATTTCTATAATAAATATAGATTACTTATAATATTATCTAGATATCGTATAATATATTAATTTCTCAAGTTGCTATTTGAATATACCAATATGATTTTATATTATCATTTGAAAAATAAGATCAATTTATTTCGAGTTACATGTAATATCTCAGTATAATCTAAATGAAATTTATCAGAAAGCTTAGAACCTGTCGTAAAAACAGTACACCTACATATATAATTTTAAAATGGTTTCAAATATTTTTTTATCTTGATTTAAAATGTGAGTAATCGAAGATGATATTGTAGTTGAATTTCGTTATTTTTGTTAACATTTTCTTCCACTACTCTTTTAATAACATATTTAGTACATGTATTTGGTTATTGCATACTTCTAGGATACATTAATTAATGAAGTTATTTAAATAATTTCAACTTTCTATCTTCAAGAAAGTGCAAATGTTTTGTAAACATGTACACGGCCGGACGGGCGGTTGAACGGATTTTTTGGAAAAGTACTGAAAACGAAGCATTAACATAATTAGGGAAACTATATTAAGTCAGTTAAGATGGACATTACAGCTTTTGTAAGGAAGCATCTTTTTTGAATTTAATGAAATATGGAACAGCTGGAAATCACGATTAAATAAGTTACGGGAATAGATTATAATATGTGAGGGGAAAAAGTATTTGTTATAATCTCTATAAACTGTTAAAATTTAAGATTTTTATAATTTGCCATCTAAAATAATTCGAAAAATTTTAATGTAAAATAACGGTAAATTTCGCATTTTGTTTGAATATAAAATTGATTTCGCATTTTGTTTGAATATAAAATTTGTCAATGACATGCGATATAAATTTGCCGATTACGTAAATTTTTTAGTGCGAGAACAGCCTATAGTTACCTAACTTCCGAATTTGTTTAACTTGTAGGTTTTTTCCAATTTAAATTGAATACCAAAATACATAAAAAATTATTTGAGTTTTATTTTATTATTAATATTTTTCGTTCTTACCAACCGCATAGCATACACTAAGTGAAATTATATGATGCCATAAATATTGCACGCCGAATTTCCAAAAAAGAACGTAACCAAACTCTTTTTACAGAGAAAATGTCTGCTTGTCTGTGCAGATGAGTATCTAGAATAAAAAAATTAACATATATCGAAAATGAGACGGTTTGATTAACTTTTGGGATATATCAGGTTTCTTTTATAAACTGTGAATGTTATAAAATTAAAAGTTTATAAAAGTCAAATAAATTTAATTTCTAATCTGCATATATGAAGGAAGAAGGATATAATTAGAAGGATTATAGCAATATTTGGAATAAATTGTCTCTTTTTTTATATTACCTCCGTTTTGTAACACCGAAATTAGCCAATTTAAATCAAATAAATTTTGTAGAAAAACCCGAAATTTTCACAGAAAATAATTCAATTTTAACTTTCACTTTTTATCAACTCATCAAAGCAAAAAAATACTATAGAGTTTGAGTGAATTATTTCCTATATTATTTTGCAAACTCATAAGCTTTTACATTTACATATTTGACGAGATTTGTTTGACTATTGTATATAAATTTAATAAAATCTACGATCCCACGCGTTAGGCTATATATCAAACATAAATTTGTCTACTTGTTCTTCTATCTAATTTATGTTTTTTTTTTTCTGAAACATTCTATTTTTAGACATTAATTCTTGTGTAAGGATCAACTAAAAAAAGAAAACATTTTTTTTTTGTAAATTTATATTGCAAACTTTTTTACGTTATGACACCAGTTATTTTAGTTTATTTTAACTTCCTATTTTTATAGATTTAAGAAAAGTAAATATTTTAATAAATATCTTATATTTATAAATTTTATACCTACTTTAAAATCATAAAAAAAATATAATTTTCTGGAAATTCTAAATTTGTTTTATCTCACATAAGCACTATTTGTATATAATAATATTAACACACGCATTTGTTCGCAAATATGAAAAAAAACAATACAGGGTAGGACCACGAATAAAGAACTTTATATTACATTGGTTTATTGGTGATGTTAAACCAAGTAAAAAATTAGGATATAGGCAGTTGCCCAGTTATTTGGGGCTTTCAAAAATGATTTACAAGATTCTACGAGGGTTTTGAACAAGTTGTCTCTAATTCGAAATCTTGTAAATACATCGAGAGACAAAGATAGATGGACTCGAATTGTCATTCGATCTATAATTAATGGAAAATTTTAACTCAATCAAAAACGCACCTGGGTGGTTATAACTTTCTTAAACTAGTCAAACTAACTAGCAGTAAGTTCTGCTCAATCTTGTTTTTGTGTCTATATTTTGTCAAGGAATTCACTGAACTGCGAGATTTTTTATTTGTTTCAGTCTTTCTGTGCTAATACTGTTTTAAAAGTCTGACTCAAACGCGCCTTATATTTTGAGGCACACTTCCTTATTTCATCACTTATTTAAGTACATAAATCTGAAGTAGTATTAAATTTTTTAAATAGTATTATAAAGAATTATGTGATTATAGTCATATCTTTAACAATATATACATTCCAATTTTGTGAAGTCAGGGTGAAGAACATAAATTATCAATTTTTATAAGTGGAATTTTTATCAATAAGAAATTACATCATATTTGCGCATTAAATAATAATGTTTTCAATCTTTCAATAAAACGTCTAAATTTAAGCGTTTATAAATTTTTTGTAGCAAAAAGTATCAATAATTTAACGTGATTTTTATTTTTTAATAAATATTACAGGCTGGTACACCAACAGATTTTTATCAACGTGATTTAAGATCACCTCTCCTAACAAAGTCAGCATATCCTTTAACATATCAACAAAATTTTAATTTACATAAAAATAATTATGATTTAAATCCCATTAGAAATAGTTTATATAATTTAAATTTTGATGAAAATGATGATGAAGATAACAGTAATAATGATGATAATAATAAAATTAATACTGATGATAATTATATAAATAACAATAATAATAATAATGTTGATGATTCAAACTATTCTTATGACTTAAGTATTTTGGGTAATGAATATCAGGGAAATCAGTTTAATCAAAAATCATTATCAGAAATAGAAGCAGCAGTAGCAGCAGCAGCAGCAGCAACAGGAGCATCATTAAGAATGGATGAATTACAACAAATTCGTGATTTAACAGAGTTACTACAACAACATAAAAAAGAAATATCAAAAGAATTTTTAAATCGTTTATTTTATAACAACAATCGTAAAATTAATAAACCTAATTTTAAAAATAATAATTAATTAAGGTAAGTGATATTATTTAAATTCTTCAATATTTTATTTCAACTGTTTTAGAAACTTGAACAAAATGTTGAACTTAAAATGAATAATACGAAATATGTGGTTATGATATAAATGCGTTAATGATTTTTATTTTCATATTATACACAACAGCTACTTGTATATAAAATTTTTGAAGATCACCATATAAATCACCATCTAAATCTACTTTCACATTCGGATATTTGACACAAGACCTCTAATTATTGTTGAGCAATACACCTTTTTTATATAAAACCCGGGTGCAAAAAAACAAACAGACCTACGACTATAGGTCTACGATGCTTATCTTTGTAAAACAATTTACTCATACTGGAGTCTACCATGCTCCAATTTGTAATATCGTAAAAATTTTTATAAATATGAAATAACCATATAACCATGCCTGCAATATCAATCCTATTTCTTATTCGAAGTCATTTATAATCACAAGAATACAAAGTCATTCATAATTTATCAGAACAAAAATGAAACACAATTCATTTATCAGAACAAAAGATGCTCTGTGTAAATTTCAAATGGCACTAGAAGGAAGTTTTCCTCTCCTCTCCTGAGACAAAAAGCAAATTTGAGAGAAAAAAATTATTTATCTTTCTATATTAATGTTCTATAAGTTCCCAATAAAAAAAAGCACTAAAATCGAAGTGCCTTACACTGGGATCTTCAGAGCCCAAAGCGACTTTAAGACTATTTTTTGAGTATTTTCGTAAAAAGATGCTTACCGTTTGACTAATAATAAAAACGAAAATTTACATACACTTCTCGAATCGTCTACAATAACTTTGAAAGAGATATCAATAAATTAAATTCTGTTGGAGTCTACCAGATGCCAGTGTCAGTATTCCGGTTTAGTATTTTCTTAATACCTCTTAATAAAAGCTTGGCCACATAATCATGTTTTTAATTTTTTGACAGTTTTTAAATTCTTATAACCTTAAGACAAAAACAAAATATTTATAAAAATTTAACAGTGAATAAATTTTTAAATCACTTTATAAAAAATACAAGATAAATATTTACAATTAATAGTCGATTAAAAAGATATGAAGGTCAGGTTAAAAAAAAAATACGTTGAAAATGTCATGGACATTTTGTCGCTAAATATTAATATGTAGTTAGTAAAATTTGAAAAATTATCCATACACTGGAAAAAAAAAAATTTTTTTTTTATATCAACACATTCATATACGAAACGCTCATATTATGTTCTTATTTATAAAAAAAAAATCATCATTCATCATCATTCTTAAAATAAAAGATAAACTACTACGCCATACGCTCATTGGTATATATAATCTGGATCTATCGTTCGTATATCAATGACGGCATATTTATAAAAATGTGTAAACTTTAGCTTATTTTTTTTCTGTTCTTTTATTTTTGCTTGTTCCTCTTTAAAAAGGATCAAAATAATTCATAAAAATAACAATATAGAGTATGTGGCATCATCATTTTATATCAAAAAATTCTAGTATATTATGATATATATGCGGTATCAAGGGAAAAACTGACAAGTCAAGCTGGTACAGTCAATTTGTTACATAAAAATTTATATTGGTGAAACAGAAAGCAAAAAAAAAAAGAAAAAACAAAATAGAGAATATACAAAATCATTCGCATAAAATTAAAATAAGAAAATTTTATATAGAATTATATGTAGTTGTTCTTACCGACCATTCAAATTTATTTCCGTATAACAGTTATTCGTGTTAGAAGGCATAATTTTGTTTTGAACCTAATGAAATTAATTAAAACTTAATTACCTAATTGGTAATTCTGCTTGCTAAAAAATAAAATTGAAAAAAACCATAATTTTCAAAGCTTGCTCGTATTTACGAGTACGTATTTTTTTATTTTTATAGATATAAGCTTCAGTATATCAGTTTTAACTCTTTGCCAGAGTGAACGTTTCCAAGAGTTTCCAAGAGTTACTTGTAGACTGCCATATGGCTTCATGTCATTTCAACTTCTTTTTTTAAGAATTGGCTCTACTATAAAAATGATCTATGTTTTAGTCAGTACAATATTCAATACTGAAGCTATTGAATATTTTCTTATATTATTATGTTGAAGTTATTTGGAAGTGACAAAATAATTTCACCAAAATTAAACAGTATTTATAACTTATTTAATTGTTCTGGTAAACTTTCGTCAAAATATTGGTGAAAATTAAAATTATTTTTTTATGATTTTACAAAATTCGTTTGAAGAATATAAAACACATATAAGAGGCACGATATCAAAGGGTTTACAATCAGTGTCATAGCGCTTAGAGCAAAATTTTTCATTGTAAACACAATTCTTTTGATACACTCTTTAATGAGGTGCCCATAAATCTAACTACCTACATATGTAGATAAAAATTTATCGGTACAGTAATTTCGAAATTTTGGTCAAAACAAAATCTTTCCAAATATACATATAAAATTATTGGTATAACCCAAATTGTAAAAAATTTTTATGTTATAACAAAAAAGGTTTAGATATTATTTGTGGTATACAATGTTATAAATTTGGTCGTAAATAATGGTACAAAAATCTTTCAATTTTATTTCTAAAATAATCTTTTTTTTTGTTTTTTGGTATTGTTTCTCTTTTGTTCATTTATTAAATGTTCTATCTATACTATTGTAATAGTTTTCCTTTTTCTATTTTTATATTTATATATTTTGATTTTATGGCGGCAACTCTAACGAGTTTATTTAATAATGTCACGTTCAATGTATTGATTTTTATAATTTTTGCTCTTTTTTTGGGGTTTTCGTTTTTTATTTGGTTGGGTTTTATGATAGTAAAAGATTTTTAAGGATATTCGATGAATGTATTAAAATTGTGGTTAGAAAAAATAAATTTCTGATCAATTTTCCACATATATGTACATACATAGTAGTAGGTATATAATATTAATATTATAATACAATAGTTATATATATACCATAAAATAATATATTAATGAAATATTCTAGATGTTTGATTGTATACATAATAAATATATATATACATATTTACATACAGAAAGAATAGAATCAAATCATCGGGTTTAAAAAAAATAGACGTGTTACTGATTTTGGATTTTGATTTTTTGTTTGGTATTTTTTCGTTTCCTTTTTTTTTTCGTTTCTCTGTTCTCTATCTCATATTAAAATTTCAATTTTGTGAAATTTCAGATTTTCACTTTTGTGGTAGATATATATAATATCCCTTTTTTTTGTTTTGTTTTATTTTATTTATGTTTTTTTTATATTTTTCATGTGATATTATGACGTGAATGAAATTCTCAATTATCTGCAGATTATATTATAAGAATTTTGTAAATTTTTGTTTTTCATTGAAGAAACACATAAAATAATCATTTTTGTGTGGGATTTTTATATAAACAACAATAATAATGATTATTTAAGAGAGAAAAAAAAAACTTAGGTCCCTATAATATAGCATGTATTTTTTTTTTATTTTAAAAAGTAATAATAGTGAATTATAAATATTGCTGTATTTTTTTTTTATTTTATATCATGTATGTATGTATCAGCATTTTACATAAATTAATGTCAAATCATTGAGAAAATTCATGCACTTCATTATTATTCGAATTTTATATTATTCTATATACATATGTACTCATATATAAATATATTTGGCAACATTTCAAATATTAAGAATTGATTTTACTTAATTCTTAATGTCATTAAAAGTATATTATTTTTTTTTTTTTTTCAAATCACTGTAGATTTGTGCAAAATTTTTTACCCCGCAATATTATTGATAAATTTAATAACTGCGTTTTCTTTTCAACTCAAATGGCATACAGATTATAGAAATTATAAAAATTTTCAAATTTACCTTTAACTTAGTATCTTTACGATATTATGAAGCAAAAAAAAATAATTTATGATGAAGCAGAAAATTCATTGCATACATAAAGTATTTTTGTTATATCGTAACGAAATTGTATTTAAATTCTTTAATAAAAACAGTTTTGCAGTTTATTATAAAAATAAATATTTAATGTTTATATAAGCAAGCATAATCATTAACTATATTTAATAGTATAAATTTTTATTCTCCCAAAAACAAACCTATGTTATAAACAACGCACTACGAATAAATTTCACGCGAAATTTAGCAAAATCAGCTGTAGAAAATGTTGCATTTGTTTAAATTATGTACATATGCTTTAAAACTAATATAATTTGTGTATAAATAAATATTATATTATACCATAGTATTGCTTCGCATAAAGGTACACAAATATAAGCAATTCAATATAAGTCTCCTAAAATTTTTAATATAATTTCATTTATTTAATATTCAATAAATCGTCGGTTAAGAAGCAGAAAGCATTAAGTCAGGAAACTGAGTTTTGAATAAATTCAATTTGAAAAAATCGTAAAATTGTAAAACTAATCAATTAGTATAATGGAATTGGTCTCTTTAATTTCTGGATTTATAAACTATATTCTGGATTTGCATGATTTTTTGCCACAACAAAGATTATATTACTCGTATTCTGATTTAATTCATCTATGAAATCCGAATTCTCAAAAAATGCACTTAGTGCTTTCTGCCTTTTAACCGACGAAATTTAAACCCAGCGAAAACCCATTTTACTTTATAAATATTCCAAAATATTGGAGAGTTAATTTTTCTTATATAAAAATGTAGGTATGAGCTTCACTTAAAGTCGCAAATTTTCGGTCGCAGAAATAAAATTTTGAGCGAGCTATTTCTGTACACATCATAATTTCTATCTATATGCATATTATATTATAAACTTGAAAGGTAGTTATGTAGCATAAGCTATCATTATGGCACAATAGACATTCGAATTTTTTATAACATTGTTATGACATAATTAATTCAGCTATATCCCTTCTCTAAAAATTTTTGAGAAATTTTAACTTTATATATATTTATGTACATGTAATGTTAAATTAGTTTGTCGTAATTGTAACATAATTGAATCAAC